TTACATATACAATTTTATTACAATATAATTATTATTATATAATTTTATTGCAATATTTATATATCATATATAAATCATATAAGCATAAAAAGACAATTACTTGTTCTGGTTTCTTCTTTACTCTTACGAGTTCATCTCTACGCGGAATAGTTCCACCATCGCAACCCATAATAGATTAAAAAAGAAAAACAGTTACAAGCTATTTGATTTTAATAGGATCTGCGACAAATACTATTATGGATTATAACTCACATCAAAGCAATATATGACTGGAAATACATAGAATTACAGAGCTACCAACTTTAATACTATAAACGAATATGACTTTTGAATAAATACACTTTCATTAAACTTTAGAAAATGTAAATTCTTAGTAATTAATTTTTACATTCTATTGAAATTATATATAGAAGGTAATTTTTTTTTAATATTTAAAATTAATTCAAGCTTTTGATTATAGTTTATAAATAAAATTTTTGGATTGATTGGCAACAATATTGATCACTGTAAACAGTTCTGAATCAGCTGATGATACTCCCTTTTAGTTTATGCTTTAGTTGCCGGGTGGGTCGTAAGGAAGCAGCACACATTTGTCATCACGTGAGGTCACAATGGTTTCTGATGGTTTCGACGAGTAGCGATTAGAACAGCGAATGTTTTGAATTTCTTGGGAAATTCAAGCATCTGCCGTGTTCTGCAAATAAAAGTACAATTCAAAGTATTTGGTAAGTAAATACAATTTGTTTCGTATTCGAAATAGATCAGTAACGAATAAATTATGGTTAAAAATGAAAAAATACTTTTAACCCATGTTTTACGATTAATAGAAATTAAAACTTACTGTCAAATAGCTGCACTTTTAGTTTTGAAAAAGTCGTATGTAATATATAATACATTTGTTATCTTAATTATAGATTTCTAGATTGTTCGAAATTTAATAGATGCCATATTTTTTATAAAAATAGGAAAATTTATTCTGTTATCAATTCTTTATGATCTTCTAATGGACGCCATTAAGTTATTTGTATAAGCTCGATCATATACTAAAGAACTCGTATGACTAGTGTCAATTTGAAGCCATCTTATTTCATCTGCAATTACTTGCAACACTTGTCATTATATTGATCGTTCTGTAAGATCGGCGCGCCATTCTTGCACTTAGTATATGTCACGTGGAAAGCGCGCCTAATTACATAATAGCAGTCAAATACGTTGTGCCACACCCCCTTCTTCTGTTTAACTTTTTAAGTCTCTATGTATCCTTTAAAATTGTTTAGAATTTTGAATTTTCACTTACTGTATGTACTAATAATTAACAAATTTATGAATTATGCTTTTAAGATTACACTATTATATGTCAAATCAATAGACCAGTAATATTTAAAAGTAAAGCAGGTGGTTGTTGACAAAACTCATGAAATACTATTTAAAAAATATTAATGTTCACATATTCAAGCTATAGCAAAAAATAAAAAATAATTTATTATAAAAAATATAAAACAAGTAAATAAATATAATAAATTATAAAATATTGAAGGTTATATAATATGTCAAGGTGTATAAAGTAATATTTACATGTTTCAGATATACTAAATTATTTACATTGGAAATTTGTTCAAAATGACAGAATATTGGTTAATATCTGCACCAGGAGATGAAACATGTCAACAGACATGGGAAACTATGAACAATTTGACATCAAAACAACATTCTTTATCAATCAATTACAAATTTCATATCCCAGATTTAAAGGTGGGAACTTTGGATCAGTTGGTTGGTTTATCAGATGATCTAGGGAAGCTTGATGCTTATGTTGAACAAGTAACACGCAAGGTGGCAACATATCTAGGAGAAGTTTTAGAAGATCAAAGAGACAAACTGCATGAAAATCTTTTGGCTAACAGTAGTAAGTACAAATATTGGTGTGTTTATGTTTTTAGAATTTGCCTTTAATTTCAATTTATATCTATTCTTTGATACAGAAGAATAGGTTATTAAAATATTCAGGGATCCAAAATTATATAACAATTTTTTTATCCAACAGTACATTCTGTTGAATAAAATGTTTAATTTTAAAAATCTGTTGAAGTAATACTTAACAGTACTGTATTCTTTTTGGATCCTTGTAGACAGGTATCGATCGATTTTTTGTGTATGATGTTTTAACAATAAAATAATATTGGTTGGCAAAAACATCAATGACCATACACAACACTAAACATCCACACAACTTAGAATTTTTCTTTAACAATGATCTTAAACATGTATCAGTTGATTTCTAAAGATTTTAATTTATTCATTGATAATAATAATAAGAGCACGATTAGAGTCTTTGATCCTTATTCTCCTCAGTACCCTACATTAATAGATTGATAGATAAAACAAAATTTTGTCTGTGTATGTTAATAATAACAATATAACAACAATATTATTTTTTGACAAATTGTCTTAATAGACATTTTTTTATTGAGGATAATATACAGGCAAAATACTTGTGGCTATAGCACATAGTAATTAACATTTTTAAATATGATGTGTACCATACATTTTTTTTTATTGAACATAATGAATTTAATTGAATGGCTATGGTATAAAAAATTATGATGTAATCTGTTGTAATAATATAATGTTTTGAATATATTAAACAAATAATCAAATTATACAATTATCTCTTTAAAACAACATTGAAAATTGTGTGCACATTTATTTTTATGCATAATATAGTCACTGATAATCTGTTATAGTCAATATATGATTTTACTTAAGTGCATAAAGTTAATATTCCTTTTTTATTCTTAATTCTTTATTTCACATGGTATACATCATATTTTGGCATATAATTTATATATCTGTAGAATGCTTATTACTTCAGTTGGGTTAGAATTTATTTTCTTTATTATTTACTACAAATAATTTCTCATATTTGTGGTGTTGCTTGGCTTGCTTTATTTAATTTGGACCACATTAACCCTATTTCCCTACCTTATTATTTTATTAACAAATGCTCATACGTGTGCACCATCAAAAATGTATAAAGCTACAAAAATTATTAATACACAAACATGCAGTATCATCATTATTGAAAAATATAAGAAAGATTAGAAGTATACAAGATTTAAATATATGGACCACACTGTTTGTTAAAAATTTACAAAGGACGCAAGGAGTTGCTTGGGTTACTGTGGTCACCAAGCTCCAATTAGTTATTTCAAGGATTCTTTTTCCTTTTTTCTTCTGTTGTTTTATTATCCCTTAGCAGTATTGATCATTTGCAATTTAAGTTTATATGATTGCATATCATTTGCTCATACTCTTTTCAGTTTAATTCCATTATTTTAATTATGTATTGTTTCACCCTTGTTTTCATTTTTTCTTCCTTCCATTTTTATTGCTTTTTACCACATTGGAGTATTTAACGAGAAATTCACTTCAAGGTCTAAGTACGATAACCATCTTATTTGCAAAATTCTAATAATGAAAGAAGAAGAAAATCAATAGTAAATTTTTAGCAACGGTATAATTGTATAATTAATAGTTAAAGATTGTAATCATTAGGTACATTCTTTTTATAAATACTCTTTTATAAATACAGTCATTTAAATATAAATTCAACTTATTCCTTTTTCAGTAAAAACTCCATATTTAAAAGGATTCTTGTTTAGTATATACAATTATGATAATTAACATTAATGCTTATCAAAATTATATAGGAATTTGCATTTAATTGTAATATTGAGTAGCCTTTATTTCTAAGAGTTATATTTTTGCGATTAAATTTTTAATAGAATACAAAAGTTTTTGGACACTAAATACTCTGTGGTTTTATTCATTTTTTATTCTTTTAATTTTCTTTTTTTTCTTTTTCCCTTATCTTTTCTTTTTTTTTTTTTTTTTTTTTTTTTTTTTTCCCTTATTTTTTTTTTTTTTTTTTTTTTTTTTTCCTTTTTTTGAGTTATTTTGATTGAGTTTCGACAGCATTGTCGTTAGGCATTTGCGTAGGACGCAATAATAGTTGAACGAGACGTAAGAAAAATCGCGCGGAGATTGGGACTGGGCTGTAATGGATAGGTCAAACGTCAGTGGATGGGGAGAGCTCGAGCCCCGAAGGGGGTCCGGACACCCCGCCAAACACCCCCGTCACCCCATCACACAAGTCTTCAAAGGAGCATCACAAGCAGTGGAAGGAATCGGAGAAATGTGAACCAGAACCAGCCGCCTGTTTAGGTCAGCATCATCACCAGCGTCATCATCATCACAAGCATCATCATAGTCATAAACATCACAGTCATCCTTCTGATATCGAAAAGAAATCATCACATAGTCCTCAAGGCATCTGTGATGTCAAATCATCAAATGATCCTTTATTAGCATATTCATGCTACCATGCGCATTGGTGCGCTGCTTCTACCTCTTCTACACCTACTCCTAGCCCTACTCCTACGAGTCCGAGTCTTTCCCTTTCATCAAACTGTAGCAGTGAAGGAGAAACCAGATGGCAGTCGGCGACGCGTCATCGGACTTCTGAGAAAGCAGATCGATCTACCTCCAATCGCAAATCGCTTGGCAATGACGACGACGAAGACGATGCGGACCAAAACAACGACCAAGACCAAGACCAAGACCATAGTGGCAATTTGCCCAATCCAGGTACCCGTCCTATCACCGCCAGGTCAACCCGTCGAACCTTTTTCCCAACATAGCTGCGAGACTTGTTCAAACCTACTTTCCTGTGCACCTCGTGATTCGCCCGATTAGCGACCGATTCTTGTCTTGTCTTATCTCCTTTGGAGGTAGATATAGGAGAGAAAGAAAGAGAGAGAAAGAGAGAGAGAGAGAGAGAGAAAGAGAGAGAGGTTGTCATTTCATAGTATTGAAAATTTTAAACAATGAACTTCGCATGCAGCTTCTGCTTAGAGAAAAAAGAAACAAGAATAATTGAAATTCACGTCACTCTTGTTTTGGTTCTTCCCAGTCACGATATACTTAAGGATGTTTATGATCCTAGTGCGCATTTCCTTCAATGTCAATTTTGCACAACTCTGCACTACATATGCAATATCTGTAATGCTAAAATATTTTATGCCAAATCTTGCCTCCAGTGTAATAAAATATTTCAAATCTTCTTAAATGTTAATGTGCTATGTCAAATAAGAAAGCATTGCTTATTAAATATTTTATTTTTTTTGTCACTGTAATAAATTTTCTACACATTATTATAACTGAATTTGCATTCTTTAAAAGACACAATTTTCTTTATATTAATGACTATTTAAATATACATTATGTATTTGTATATACTTCAACAACCTATCAAAAATAAGAAAAACATGTTAACATGTAAATTGTTAAGATCATGACAATCTCTCTCGAATGCTTACTGTATACACCAAGTGAGACAGTACCAAAAGGAAAAAATACTTGGCTTAGTTTACTTAGCTTGCGATTCCAAATACAGAAGCCTAGTATATCTAATATTTTATGTTGTACTGCAGTAATTTCCTCAGTGATGTTACAACAATATTTGGTTTCTTATGCACGCAGGAATTAAAAAATTGGAAGATAACAAAGACAGCTGCCCATGTTCTAGCACATTTTAATTGCAGCAAATGTGCGTACATTCATAAAGTTTATTTTTCGGGAAATGCTCTAGTTTGTTTTAAGTTCTTAGCTAGTTCTTTTTCACTCCTGCGTCCTAGTGGTGGTTGAATACTTCACAGTTTTTATACAATCTACAAAACACATTTAAAAGACTAAGAAATTATTCTATTTTTCCAAAATATTCATTTGTAATGATATGAAAATATTCTATTTGATATTTAATATTTTTTAGAAATCATTTGATCAATTGTTCCAGGTGCTGTGGACGAATGAATGAACACATAGTGTATTACCTTAATCATTATCAACCTTTCTTTTTATATTTTAACTGCTTCTTTTTATAATTTTTTGATTTCAAGTTCTTTTATACCATACTTTGTTTCAGTTTTTTTATCTGTAAAATTTCTTTACATATTATTTTTAAAAGATACATGTTTAAATAAATAATAAATTTACTAAAAATTACTCATATACAAGTGCCTAATGAAGTTAAGATATATTAATATAATAAATTAGTCTGATGTAATTATTTCATCATTATGTTAACTTATTTAAGTAATTTATACAAAATATTATTAAAGTTAGATTGAATAGTTGCAAATCAAAAGTATTTGTGGATTTGAAATTATAATATCCATAAATACAATCTAAAGTATGGTTTAAAAACAATTATAAGAATTATGCTACTTTTAAATATATTAACACTATTTTGTATAACTTTATTTCGTTTAATATATTTTTTAGCATTTTTCCTGTACCTAGCTTTTACATGCTTTCAAACCATTACTTTCTATAATTTTCATAGAAAGACAATACTGCACAAACTATAATACATATATATATGTGTATTATGGACGTTACCACAGATTACAGATGAGACACAATTAACAAAAAATTTTAAAACACTTATCGATCGGTACATGGACTTATAACATACTGTTTCGCATGATCAGATAAATTTTGATGACAGTATGGTGCTCAGTACCCTTCAACACTACAAGTTATCCATATCACAAATACATCCTACTGATCAACTTTTATAAAGTACCTCATAAACAATTAGCATGAAGTGCTTAAATATTTTAGCTTAGCTGTATACTGTGTCTATGTTACTATTGCTCATGCTATATCATTTAGGTCACTACTATATATGAGTTAAACATGGAATTTTAAAAATGAAAATTGGAAAATATAAAGAATTTATGTTATGTAGCATTAATATCATATTTTGATAGTTTTCATTACATCCATACTGTAACGAATCAAGTGTATATGCGTATGCGTGCATGCGTGCGTGCGTGCTTATTCATATAAAATTGTCAACTATTAGTTTCATGAAAGAATATGATAATGTAGTTTAAAATTTGTCAGTAGTTATAGAGTTATCATAAATTTTGTTTGAATGAATATATTATTAAAAAAAAATTGTATTAATAATAAAAAAAAATGACTATCAAACAGATTTTATAACATTAAATTAAAGGGACTAGCTGGGACTGCTTGATTCATTCAAACGTGATTTACGAGTAATTCTCCTTTGTTACAGATACATAAAGAACTTAATTAATTTGAGCTAATCTTTTTTTATGAATCTTATATCTTAAAAAAAAAAAGAGATGAACTTTATTTAAATACAATGAATCTTATAATAAGAAAGAATTAATAATATAAAATGCTTCTATACATTAATGTTTGCATGCTGTATTTCTGTTAATGTCTCGCTTATTCTCGTAACGCTAATAATAAGTAAGGAGCGTACTAGAATCAAGAAATGAGTTTAGTAGAAACAGTCTTTCTCTGTTATCTTATTATTATCAATACTCTCCTTATCACAGAGTTAATCTGAAAATTATTTTAATTGTGGTTCAGCTAAAATTAATTTAACTAGATATGTACTCATATGCATAACTTTATTGTACATATGCAGGCTTATAAAATGTTTTCTTTTTCACTCTTACCATGAAAGAAATATAGTGCAGTAGTAAAAGTAATGTTACTGCCGTGTTTTAAAAAAAGAACAAAATTTAAGATTTTTCTATATATCATTTTTTAAGAATCTTGGAAATATACTGTAGAAAGAAAAAATATAAATGTTATGGTTGGTAAAATTAAATATTACATTGACTATATATAAGTATATTATAAATACAGTATATTCCTGCAATTGTACAATATATCTACAATTCAACAGAGCTTTATCATTTTCAGCTTATGAATTTTATCAAATCATTAAAATTATATTCAGTATTTCATTTGTAAGCACACTTAAGCACTTAGTATACTACATGTAATTTAACATTGCATGTTATTTATGATACCATATTTTCAAAATTATATGAGCTCTGTTTGAATATTTATATAGAAAATGAAAATGGTTACCCACAGAACAATTACACTAACATTTTAAATTTATTAGGTGATCTACCATCATATATAACTCGATTCCAGTGGGATATGGCAAAATATCCTATCAAGCAATCATTAAGAAATATTGCTGACATTATCAGTAAACAAGTGGGACAAATTGATGCAGATCTTAAAACGAAATCTACAACATATAATAATTTGAAAGGAAGTTTACAAAATCTTGAAAAGAAACAAATGTAAGTTACAAATGTTCATTGTTTACTATATAATTAAATTTAATAATAAGCATATTTTTATTCTTTAATTAAGATAATTTGCTAAAAGTTATTTAATAATAATAATATATAATTATTTTGCATAGAGGAAGCTTATTAACAAGAAATTTGGCAGATTTAGTAGAAAAAGAACATTTTATCTTGGATAGCGAATATTTAACTACCTTGCTTGTAATTGTGCCAAGGTAAATTCATTGAATAACTTCTACAATTTCTATTTTAATAATTGTTATTCATTACGTAACAAAAAAATTGTTTTATGAAATGTTTAGAGCAAATTTCCAAGAGTGGTACAGTAAATATGAAAAATTAACAAAGATGATAGTACCACGTACCACACAACTTATTACTCAAGATTCTGAATATGGATTATTTACTGTTACTTTGTTTAAGAAAGTTACTGAGGAATTTAAGTTACATGCACGGGAAAAAAAATTCATTGTACGTGATTTTACATATAATGAAGAAGAATTAGCAGCAGGTATTCAAGATTCTAATACAAACTTTTATTTCTATTTATAATTAATCATTTCCTTCTTATTCACATTTACATTATTTTTGACATATTTTAATTTCATAGTAGAAACATTTATATCATTTGTAATAGTGAAATTTATGAAAATATATTGTAGGAAAAAATGAAATAACAAAGTTGGTAACTGATAAAAAAAAACAATTTGGTCCTCTTGTACGTTGGTTAAAAGTTAACTTCAGTGAATGTTTTTGTGCATGGATTCATGTTAAAGCTTTGCGTGTATTTGTAGAATCTGTTTTATAATTATATATTAATTACATTATAATTTATTAGATATGGATTACCTGTAAATTTTCAAGCAATATTATTACATCCTCATAAAAGATGTGCAAGGCGATTACGTGATGTTCTTAATCAACATTATGCTCATTTAGATTCTTCTGCTACAGCATCTTCTGCTGCACAGGGAAATCAGGATGTAAGTTATAATGTTCTAATAATAGATTATTTTAACGCAACTTCTTTTTATCATTTTATAAATTAATTTTTTTAGTATATTGTTTAATATTTTTTCTATATTTATTTGTTTGAACAGAATGTGGATATACCAGGATTAGGTTTTGGCCAAAATGATTATTTCCCTTATGTGTATTATAAAATCAACTTAGATATGGTCGATAATAAGGTTTAATTATTGAAAATGAGTCTATTTTTCTATGATTAAATATCCTTTCATTTACATACATACATATACTTCTATAACTCCAGGCACTTAAAGCAGATGTGTACAAAGTACATTTTGTTTTAATAAAATACAGTGTTTAGCAATTTTTAGAACTTTACTATGATCTTAATTTTCCATATAAATGTAATTATCATTGATTCACTTCCAGGAGTAAACCAAGCATTTACTCAAAAAAATATTTTTGTAGAACATCAAAATGCCTGGAGAGGTGTATGTATTCTGATATTAGCTCAGCTAACTATGCATAATAGAATGTATAATCATTTGTATAAATCCTAGCAGACTCATTTGAATACATATTACAAATTTAGTTTTTTCCTTTTAAACATGCTATATTTGATTGAATAAGATATAACAGTACAAATCAGGTCCATGATATGATTATCTGCTTTAAACTTACATCTTTAAAACAAAACTAAAAATATTGAAAGATTTGTTATTACAACAGTAATATATATTATATATATATATATAATACTAAAATTCCCACAATTAAATATAGCACAACCTATTTTACATAGTACTACGTAATGAGCGGAAAAAGTATCGTGTCAGAATAAGAATTCTGCAATGTAGAACTATATTATGTTATATACTGTCTATAAAATTAAGGCCGTTGTGAATATTGTTATAAAAGAGAAAGTTCGTCTTGTTATAAAAACATATGTCATAATATTTTTTTTGATTCAAATGCTTTTGCCATGTTCATTCAATAAGTCTTCATAATATACATTATGTGACAACTAGTAAAATAAGTGTTATCCAGATATTAAAATATAGCAAATTTATTTCTCTAACTAAATATATTAAACTAATGTTTTAACAGTACAGAGTATACAAAATACATGTTAATGTATCAGTGTTACTCATTGAAAATTATAAAACTGCAAAACATTAGTTGAACTCTTAAAGTATTACTATTAACATTATGTTTCAAGTTTTAATAATATAAAACAAATTTTATTATAACAAATTCATTTGAAGTATTACGTGTTGACTTGAAAGCTGCACAAAAGTAATGATAAGGAGTTACTATGGTACATGTTGTTTAAGCAGGTTGTATTATAAATACTTTCTGTATAGAAAATATGCTTTGCAATATTACTTTAAATATCACTTAAATCTTATTTTCTTCAAAATGTTCTTTTTAATATACCAACATAAATTGAACTGTATGTCTAAGTATGTTCAATTTTATACTGTACATATATTTTAAAAATAGAATGGGCATCAGGCATAGTAATATTCATCTTGATTTGAGCAAATATATTTCAATGTATGGAAATAATTTATAATTTCTGTTCAAATAACTGTTAATCAGTGTTTTAAAACACATTTGTATTTCAAACTGTAAATTATACCGCTGGCGATAAAAAGTTAATAAACGAATTAAATTTTATCGTCCTACTAAATTTTATAAAATAGAATTTTCCTTATATGTTAAGTAATGAAAGTTAAATAGTAAAAACGTTATGTGTCTCATACTAATAATTATGAAAATGTATTATTTTATATATCCCAAAATCAATTACAATATTATATTTATATTGTATAATTTTAAAGTTTCAATTGTAAAAACATTTCAGTTATAATGATGACAATATTAGCTGAATGATAACTGTATGTTAATGTTATGAATAAATGAATTCTTATATGTGATCAAAGAATTGCAGAGTTGTAATCTGTACATATTAAATACAATGTCATATAGTCAGTTTGTTTTTGTCAATTGTATGGATTAAATAATGTTAAATAATGAATATCACATTTTATTTTCATTACATCATATTTATTAAAATGAATAATATGCATTCTAAATATCTATAAGTATGAAATAAGTAAATTTTTATTCTTATTAAGTTTAATATAAACACAATATTAAATAGTATTTTACTATTGTGTTATAAATCATGAAGTATGAGAAGAAACGTTACTACTTTGACATAATTTCTGAAATAAAACAAAATTTATATTTATTTTTCTGTAATATACAACTATTAATTTATATTTTATTTATTGCTTAAATACTTTAAAAAAATTACTTGTAAAGCATCAATTTCCTGGTCCCAATTTCTTCCATCGATAAGTTTAACTGCTTTTATAAGGATATTTTTAATTTTATTGACATTTTGTTTAAACACTTTTATGACTTCAGCTGCATGAACATTATCCTCACAATCTCTCCAGCAGTCATAATCAGTTGCCATTGCTATAGCTGCATATAAAAGTCCTGCTTCTTTTGCTAAATATACCTTATTAAAATATATATATATATATATATTAAGTATATTACTTTTATTCAAATTTACAAATTGATTCAGAAATTTGAAAAAAAATGTAATACCTCTGGACATGTAGTCATATTAACTAAATGCCCACCCCATAAGCGTAGTGCATTACTTTCAGCTTTTGAGGAAAATCTAGGCCCTTCTATAGTTACAACAATTCCTCCTTTTCTTATTTCATACCCTAATTTATTACCACTTTCAAACAATATTTGAGAAGTAGTTGGATCAAAAGCAGGTTCCATTGGCATATGGCATACTCCTAAAATTTTATAGTGCAATGTTTATAGATATAAAATTTACATTATATTAATGCCATATTTAAATATAATTTACCAGAATATTTGGATGAAGTACCATCATAAAAAGTTGTACTTCTTTTCACTGTTCTATCTATAAAACTATCTGGAACTACTAATTGACCTCTACAAATACATTCTTGTAAAGAGCCACACGCTGTTGATGCAAGTATATGAGTACATTTAGCTAAGCGAAAAGCTTCAATATTTGCACGATAATTTACTGTAGTGGGACTTATATTATGACCTGGTCCATGCCTGTATTTTATTATATAAAATTTAATTCTTTAAATTTTTATTTTAAGAAAAAAAAATATTCAAAGTATAAAGAAATTTATACTTTATTATTAATTTATTTTGAATAATTTATTCATTTTATTTAGAAAATTTCAAAGACATTTTATTAATTAAAATAGTTTGATTATAGTTTTTATTATTTTTTATTATCAATTTATTACAAAATATAAATACTACCTTGATAACAATACCACATCTACACCATTAAGTTTTCCATGGTAAAGATCACTAGATGGTAATCCAAATTCATTTTTGGCTTTTTCTCGACTTGTTACGAGTTCACATTGTAATATCTGATTTTGAGTATCATCTAATCCTGAACCACCAATTATTCCGACCTATTAATTTTTTGAATTAAAAAAGAAGACTACTTGTTATTCACGTGACGGCTTCAAAAAGAATATACTGCTTGTTCAAATACAATTTAAATATATTAATTAAATTTCACAAATATTTCAAAATATAATAATAAAATACATGAAAGTAATAAAAAAATTAATAATTTGTTTAGCATATATAGTAAATTTTCAAATATGAATAATCTTACCTTAACTTTATACTTATTCATTTTTTACTTTATTTAAGATTACTTAATTAAATGTTTCCATATATTATTTTTTATATTTTAAAATATACGATAGCAGAATTCCAATTAATATCTTATGAAATCACAAATATAATACAGAGTAGTCCTAATAGTGAATACTTTTTTATATTAATCACAAAATTATTATCATTTTTGTGTCGTCTTTTACGTTATCAATTCACATATATTTAACATGTAGGCATAGAGTATAAGATAGATTCATCACTTTATAGGTTTTTATGTTCTGTGTTTTAAAATACGATTTTACGATTTAAAATAGCGAATTCTGAAATTATTGAACATAAATTCTATAGCGAATAAAGTAGGTGTAAAATTTCTACCAATGACAAAATGAATACGAAATGAATATAACATAAACGGTTATTGGATGTATGAGGTTGAAATATTAATCGAAGAATGGATCTGAAATCTAAGATATGAATTGAATGAACAATGACTATTCCCTACTAGTTAGCAAGATAAATCATTTAAATTTTTATTTACTCAAGAATTTAATTTTCCATTTTTTAATAAATTTCAGATTTTTACATTGAGAATAATAAAAATTAATATTGTAAAAAATTAAATAATATAATCTAATAAACCGAATGTAATTTCTTGTTAGAAGAAACAAAGTATCTATAGCATCATTTTCCTATTTCTACTTCCTATTAGTAAAAGAATAAAAAAATGTTTACATAATATTTTCATTGTTTTAAGGGTTTCATATATAATGAGTAATTTATATTTCTTTTTTACAAAGTATAAATATTTATGTTTTAATATGGCATAACACTATTATAGACTTGTAATTTTATGTAAATAATATTTGTAATTTAATGTAAATAACTTATTTCAACGTGATTATATAATAAATTATTTAATAAAAAAAATCTTTATTGAGCCAATAAAAAAGAAGTTTTGTTTGGCAATTCACATTCAAATAGTATCAATCATTTCATATACAGATAGCTTAATGAAAGTAAAAAATTGAAAAAATGTTAAATTTCAAAGTTCTTCTGCATCTTCCAAACGTTTAATTACTTTTTTATATTCTTCTTCTAAACTTTTATATTCCTTCTCAAGAGTTTGTATACGTTGTTCTAGTGTGGGTAAAGTGATATTTGCACGTTTATCAATATTCTTCAATGCACATTCTAACTTTTTTAAATCATTTTGTTCACGTCTGTATGGAATATTTAGTCTTCTTTTTACATCTAATCTATATTCACGATATTCTTGTTCATTTGTTAAGTCTGTTGCTCGTAGTCTCAATATTTCGTATACTCTGCGAGCTTGCTTCTAAAAATAAAAATTATGTATTGAAATTTAAAATGTTTCTTGTGATAAATTAAACATAAATAATACCTTATTAATCTTGAACTTTTCCTTAGCTTCTGCAGCCATTGTTTTATTGAAACCCTGAAGTAGATATTCTCGTGAAAAACTAGATAATGTACTGCAATTCATTGCATCCACATAATCTCTTAATCGTTGAAAGGTCACAGAAGGGTCCTCAACTACAACAATGATGACAATGCCTTACCAAAATGTACTAGATTTACTGAAATAAAAGTATCTAATCAGGCTTCACTTTTGTTTTATTCTTTTAAAAATACAGACTTGGATTATTATTAGCTATTTGCTGCTATCTATCTTTTCATTTACCTGTTATATCTTTGACTTGATTTCTTCCAATATATTCACGATAAATAGCATGCAATAAATGTGTACCAAGACCCATATGCTGAAATGGTGGTAAAATTAAAACTTGTGCTATACGAGGCCTAGTATGATGTGGATATGCATAGTACTGATACACAGTAGCAAAACCTGTAGTTGCATATCGAACAGTACCATCTGTTGTTTGATATTTTTCAAACCTATTCCAAAAAAATGGTTTATTTAAAAAATAATTTCTTATATAATCAATAAATGGCATAAAATAAAACAATGATTAAATTTACATATTAAAATAATGCCACCGATCATCATCAACATCTATAAAATTAGCAGCATCTATGTACCACAATACAAATGTTTGAAGACGTTGATGATATTCCTTAAATCCTTTATAAGTCATGTCTGATTTATAAACTTCATACTTTCTTGAGCAACCTTCATCTGCATCATTTATATATTTTTATTAATCAATTAGATTATTTACAGTGCCATTTTATACAAAAATATGTATTGTAAGAAAAACAAAAAATATATATTATAAAATAAATAAAATATACATAATATTACAAAATATTACCATTAACAGAAAATGAATGTAGCAGTTCACCATGAGGGATAAAGGTATCATCCTTTTTTAGAGATTCAATAAATGTATCTATGTTATTATGCACTTGTGAAGCTAATTTTTCAGCAATTTTTGGTAATACTTCATCAGCTTCAACTCCCTCATAAAGTACTTTATTTATTTTTTCAGAATATGTCATGCCCAAATACGTTTCTAAACAACCTGCTGAGTAATATAGCTTCACTCTGAGATCCCGGTAACCAAATATAGATTCACTAGCACACAAAATAAATAATTAAGAAAATAGATAACAAATGAGAATAGTTTTTAAACAATATTGTTCAAAAATAATACATATATGTAAAAATTATTTTTTAACTATATATAACAAAGATTTTTAATAATATATATTTTAATAACAAACCTATCTCCAAATACTTGATGAGACATTTCTGGCTTAAATGTAATTTCATCATTTTCTAAATCTTCAACAGAACGTACCAATTTGAATTCTAAAGCTTCATTACTACTAACTACCAAACTCTTTAAACGTGCAGTAGCTGGATCTTCCATATTAGACTAGTAGTAAAATAGATAATACAAATCAATCTGCAAAAAGTAAAAAGTTGGAATTGTGTCAATGTATATTTGTTATAAAGTAAATTAAATTTTACATAAATATTTTCACGATTATTTAGAACTAATTAACACTGATTTATGTATATTTAAATTTATATTGTATAAATTTAAATATATATCATAGAAAAAATATTTTAAATACATTAATACAATATTTTTAAATATGTTCATGTATACATTTGACCTTGATTAACAGGTTACCGCTAAATAATATTCATAGGTTATACAGTATGTATCCTATGATTTAATAGGATATCAAATAAAATTTATTTATTATTATAAAATAAATTAGATACATATTATTCAGTCACCAACAAATTAAAATTTATTAGATAATTTTTTAAATTGATATTTATTTACAAATGTTTTCCAAATTGTATGTTTTAAAAAATTACCGAAATTTTTGACATTATATGTAATATTATCACAACATCATACCTCCGTTTGATAATTGTGTATAATTTTTCTGTACAACACCACTTTTTATCACTCTTCTCTAAACATAACTATAAAACAACTTCGCGCCAAAAATAAAGCGGTTATTTAAGCTAGTTATAATCGTTTCAGAAATCAAGAATTGTCTGAAGCGTATCCTAAATTCTCGTAAATCATTGGTTGTTTCAAAAATAGCATTCTATTTAATTTATAGATTCTTATTTTAAATTTGAAAATAATATTTAACATTTAATTGATATTAATTACAAACTTTTTGAAAATATGAATTTATTTTTATGAATGTTTTATAACGTCATGAATAAAAATTTATAAAATTAAATTTCACTTTATTAATTTATACTCTGTTCGTTTGTCGTATTTCATCGATTATATACAATAACAAATGAAATATATTGATTACATATTTGTGTTAAATAATTTATTTTGAACCTTAAAGTTTATTTCTAAAATATATTAAATATTTGAATATATTGTTTGGATCTTCTATCGTAATGTTTTTCACATAAAATAAATTTTTTTAATAATCAAGAATGTCTACAGGTGAGGTAAAAAAAACAGAAGAACCTTTAATATTTCATACATATCCTTTATGTAAAGTAAGAATGTGGATTAATTTAGTTTACAATTTACAAAATTTTAAATTGTAATAATATTACGATTTACGTAAATCCTTTGTAGTACAGCGACATGCGGGAAGAAATGAAACAAGAAGCAATGGAAATATGCGTTACTGCTACGGAAAAATATCCCGATAATCATGAACTTGCAGCACGAACTATTAAAGACAGTTTAGATAAAAGATTTGGGGGTTCGTTTCATGTAGTTATTGGAGAATCATACGCTTGTGCAGTTACGTATCAAACAATGACGTTATTATATATGTACAATGCTGGTAATATAGCTATTCTTGTATGGAGAACAGTTTCAACTTTTTGATGACAATATATTATATTTTGTACCTTGTATATAGTATAATGTTTTTTTATCTACATCTTACAGTTTAAATAATCACATTTCATATGGGCAGACATACATGAATACGTAATGTATATAAAGTTGAATCCACAAATTAAATGCAGCACTGTTATTGCTCAATTGTTTGTAGTTACTATAACTGATTATCTTATATACTACTTCTTCAATGACGAAAGAAAATTATTTTAGTTAATGTCAAGTGATCCTAGAATTGAGTAGTGGATTGTTTTGATAATTCTAGGAGAATGGTAAGAATAAATTAAAATTAGTGATTATAAAATAATTTGTTATTATCGCATCGAGATTTATAATAATATATTGCTAATATTTGCTTGTTTTTATTAAATTAAAATTATTTTGTGAGTTGTTATTTACATAAAATGTTAGAAATGTGTATATATATATATATATGTGCACGTGTGTTTCACCACATTTCATCAGCAGTGAAAAAAATTATGACTGCACATACATCGTTATTTATGAAAAGGAGAAAAGAAGAAAGAAAATATTTTAATTATATTACCTAATATTTTCAATTCACGTGAGATTGAGAATATGTGTAATTATTTGAAAAAACACATTTAAATTATTTACAAATTCTTTAATAAATAATTTTTTAGCTTAACTATAATATTTTTAGTCATAAAAGAGAATTTTTAAGTATGCGTTTTGTATTTACCTCTAATGTTTACAGGGTACCACACTTATTGCACTAGGCTTAGGCCTGGCTGTAATGGGTTTTAGTGGACGTTATATGATTAAAAAAATGCCACACTTAACTCAAAAAATGGCAGAAGCTTATAAAAATGCACCAAAATTAAATTCACAGGTAAGCTGTTTTAAATATTAAGTTTATAAAGGTGTTACAATGAATGTAATAAAACCTATTATTATAGATGTTAGCCAAGAATAGATATTATAAAGGAGGTTTTGAACCTAAAATGACTCGACGTGAAGCTAGTTTAATATTGGATGTATCTCCAACTGCAAGTAAAGTAAAAGTAAAACAGCAGTTTAAAAAAATTATGTCTGTAAATCACCCAGATCGAGGTGGATCTCCATATATTGCAGCAAAGATTAATGAAGCAAAAGATTTACTAGAAAAATAATTTGTATATAGACAGCTAAATATGTAGATGTAAATAATGTACACAAAATTTATTACATCTAGACTGTAAATCTAACTTCAATAAGTAAATCATTTATGTACATATTTAACAACATAATGATCCTATATTTTATTTAATTTATAATAAAATTGTTTATATATTAACCTCTGTCTTATTTTAAAGTGTACCAAAAATTATACTTGATAAAGATATATAACATATGATCTTAACAGAATAAATATATTACAAGTTTATTGTGTACATAATAAAATTAGACTTTTGTTTTATACTTGCTTAAGTTTATAAATAATAAATGTATAAAGAATTTTATAAATTAATATAAAGTGATGTAATAGATTATTGGTATGTTATTCTTTACTTTTGATACTAGATTTATATTTACAGGAATACTGTAAATGTAACATTATAATAATCTTATACAGTATATTCGTTTTTTAAGAATTACAATAAAATAATATATTGACTAGAATCTTTCAGTAGGTAAAATCTCATTATTAGTACTATCGTCCTAATTTATTCTCTTTTTGTTCCATACGTTGTCGTGATATTTTTGTTCTTAGTTTAATAATTGTGCTACCAGGCAGTGATCCAGGTACTTTAAATATACTCTAACAAGACAAAAAATGAAATATTTTATAGCAGTTATTTGTTTTCAATATAATATAACAAAGACCAAAAGTACATTATATTTACCTGCATAAAGTCATGACATTTTAAAACAATACTGTCTTTTGTTATTTCTTTAAAGCATTCTGCTAATGTTGTAAAATCTTGACAAGCAAGCAAGTTGCATTTATTCCTTTTTATCAGAGTTAATGCAACACGAAATATAATTTTACTGCCTTCATAAAAAAGGCAATCCCATATACGCAGCGTAGTCTGCCAAGTTGTAAATATTTTATTCAATACTTCTATAGTTTATGGCAATCCAAACACGTATTAATTCAAAACGTTAAACTAATGAATGAATCAACTGTGTACACACCACATATAATAATGTTAAAAGACATCAAAACATCAATTTTATAAATTTCATCTTTATAGAACTTAAACAATTAACTTTACCTCAATTGGCAAGACTTCTGCAAACAAGCACACAAACCATTTCGTTGTAATAACTGCCCAAGGTAAGCCTATATTCGTTACATGTTGATAAATATCTGGCATTTTTATTCTGAAATAGTAAGAAAAATATTCTGAATATACATGATTTGTATGTTTGTTTGTTTTTTTTTTATAAAAATGTGAAGAATTTACTTGACTAATTCTGCAAGCACATCAATATCTGTAAGTAGACCATCCATTGTCGGGGTATAATACTCAGGTAAAATTTTTTCTATTAAGACTTTTAATAACCAAAATGCTGTTTCTTCACTTTTTGTAACAAGCAATAATAAACCTGCTATATAATTCAAGCCCTAAAGAAATCAAATAGTACTTGAGAAAATTATATTAAAAATTTGTTGAATATGTTATTATATTAATTTTAACATACTTGACAATATCCTACTGTTTTATTCTGATGAGCAAATGCTAATAGAATATTATATAATTGATACTGTTGATTTTCTGTATTATTAAAAAATATATTATCAGGAAAAGTTCTTGGCAGATCAGTTTTGATGACATCTGCAACTTGTTTATTATGTGGTGGTTGTAATAGTTTCTGATACAGATCAAGATCTGCATTTTTCAATTCTTCTCCTCCACTGACAGAAAGCCATACCTTTGAGAATTAAATGTTTTCTTTTGTACATCTATAAAATGAATTAATATGAATTTCACACTTACTAATCCTCTATGTTCTCCTGGTATTCCTTTACGGACATATCTTTTTATTGTAATATTACGTTGTAATGATTTTCCCTCTCCAATAATTTCAGACCACTTCTTCGCTCTTTTAGCAAGTACTTTGAGGTATTCTGACATAAAATCTTCATAGGTTTCATAATCAAAATCATGAGGTCTTTCAAAACCATATTCATCCACATTGCTAATAAACATATTACAAAAATATATAAATTATTGATACATTTAAAAAATTGCGTAAGTTTATAAATTATGAATAGTAGAAAGTAAATTTATAAATAATATAAAATAAATAATAAATATATAAATGTATTATATAAAAATGAATGAACAGTAATAGTCTATTTGTTTATAAAAAATAAAAGTAAAAAATTTTATATAATTATAGTTAAGAAATACATTTAATAATTTATTGTTAATCGTTCTTTTCATATTATTAAATTAAATCATGCTCATAAAAACATAACCTCATAAGTCAAAACAAAAATAAAAAATACTTTTATCTATTATATTAATTATGTCATTTAGAATTTATAGATGTATACAAATAAAAATATATAAATATATGCAGAATAAAAAACTATAACATTATTAAGAAATAATATAAAATATATAATACTTACCTAAAACATGAACTTGCCATACCCCACGCAAAACGATGCTGACATATAATTTCTGCCGTATATAGGATATTCAGCAAGTTCTTTTCAATTTTAAATTTATTGTGCAATAACATAATTGAAATATGTTCGCTTTAATGATTATATTCTATTAGCGAATATCTTTTATTTTTCTTATTTATTATTGAATTTAATTTTTTTTTACTAAATCAGTATTTTATATTTAATTGCAATTTTTTGTGACACGTAATAAATAAATTTTAAATTAATTTATGAATACAGCTAAAATATTAAATATTTGATTTTTAAAAACTTCAAAACTCTGTTCTGTCTCAGATCTCCTATTTTTCATATCTTTTATCATTACTTAGAAAAATGAATATGTATGCATATCTTATCTAAACAGTTAAATATATATTTTATATAACACATGGTAGAAATTTAAGTAGTACCTTATAAATACTGTTTGATTGTCATAGATGAAATTTAACCAGTAATTTGTATATTATATAATGTACCATAATTGTCTATTTAAAATATTCTGAAAAAGACAAAACGTCGATTTTCTGAACAGTTATCATTGATAATCGAGAAGACTAGTCGATATTAGAGTCACTAGGTCAAAGTTTTCACAAGCGTAATTACATAGAAATTTATATTCATACAAACTGAAAAAAAATTAATTAATTTTTGTCTTGTGTTAATTTATTATATGATATTTTATTTATTTCTAATATATTAAATAATAAATATATTAATTTATTTATCTATAGTATAATTGTATAATATAATATAGTTGACGTATTACATAAATATAAATATTTTTCTTTAAATTTAGATAAATAATACAAAAATATTTATGAATATACCCCAGTTTCTACGGTACTGAGCGCACGTGTTTCTTGCATACGATGTTGGCGACGCATGTGCAAGAAATCCTTTTCAAGGGACAAATTCCTCAGTCTGGCAAGAGTGGTCGATACTCGATATTACGGTACCACATGGTAACGGAGGTAAAATGGCGTTAACTGTTCCTTGTGTCGCTGGTAAGGATTTTTGTGTTGTTTTTATTGATACTTTTTTATTTTTAAATAAAATTTTTATTGGAATTTTTTTTATACGTAATATCGGCATACATAGAATGTATGTCTGTCCATAATATAAGTTTCATATTACACCGCGACTGATTGCACAAAAATGCGTCATGTGGCATTTTATTACTGGAACACATTTGGAATTAAAAAAATGCATCATGTAATATCTCATTGTGAGAATGTATTTACTATTAAATACATTTATATGTAATACTTGCATTCGAAAATTTTATGTAATTCTATAAGTAACTCGTGCATATTTGAATTTATTTCATAGATCAAATATCTTAATAATTTTATATTTAGAACTATATGTAAATTAAATTCTTTTCATTTATTAATATTAAAGTAAATATATGGATATATTTAAATATAATGGAATTTAATAACATAGAAGAAATTTAAAAATCATGTAACTGATTTTCTTTAGTGAGAGGTTCTATTGGAATCAGCTTAGGACAAGGCCCACCATCCTATGAATCAGTAAAATCATTCCCTAAAGATGATAGTAAAACATGTAAAGCAATGGCTTTTAGTCCGGAAGGAACTTATTTTGCATGGGTCAATGGAGTAACTACCAAGATTTTACATTGTTCAACATGGAAAATTATTACAGAAATCAAAAGGCCCAAAATTTCTGCAATTCAATTCTCCCCTAGAAGCACATATTTTATGACTTGGGAACCATTAATTGGTATAATATCAATTTTACATTATATACTTTTAACTGTTTTATTATGTCTCATTTATATCTTGTGGTTATTAAAGTATCTTATTTTTTTATAGTAGATTAAATGAATCTTTTTTCTATTATCTTAGTAATATCTTAGTTCTAATATCTTAGTTTCTATTTTGTTTATATTATATATACATTTTTAACTGTAAAAACATTACTTATATTATTAATTAATATATTACAGCAACAATGTCAAATCTTCAAGCAACACCAAATCTTCACATATGGAAATCAGAAACTGGAGAAGTAGTGAAGAGTTTTATACAAAAAAAGCAATCAGAGTGGTAATGTATTATGTTTTATTTTCAACTAAAATTTAATTTAATATTAATTCTCAATTATTGTAAATTATTTATTTCTTTTTCTTTGTAACATTCTGTCACTTATACAATCAAAAAAATATAATTTTTATAAATATTTAGTGTCATGAAGATATTATTTATGTAGGATATTTACAAAAATTCTGCATAATATGTATTGTTATTAAAAATTTGTCCACTTCTTAAGAGTAAGCACAAACAATAGGTAAATCTTATTTATTACATAGTTACATTTGTATCATATTTATCCAGGGAACCTCAATGGACAAATGATGAAAAGGTCTGTGGGATGTTAGTTGGTGCAGATGTCATTCTATATGAGGATGTTAATTTTAATAAAATTATGTACAGAATAAATGTAGCCAAAGTTGCTAGATTTAGTATATCACCAAGTAATGCACCATACTATATTCTCTGTTATATGCCTGGTAATTAAATTTTGTTGTATATACTTAATTTTAAATTAGACAAGTATACATGTATTAAGGGCGTCTTCTAGTATCTAGCTTGATTTTTTCAATATTTTAAAAATTTATTATTATTTTGGTTTTCTGCTCCTAAACATCTTTCTAATAAGTTTCTGAAAGATAAATTTTCATATATAGGTTTGTTCACTTCCAAACCATTATTGCTAAGAAGTGGTTAATGCTTGAATATTTCAAGTTCATTCTTTGCATCTACCTTTCTTGTACCAGCTATTTAATCCCAGTGAGGATTACATGTATTGAGAATTTTTGCCTGTGGAGCTTTTATGATAATAAGTAGCCCAGACAACATCTCTCATCTCATCTACAGAATTTGAATATCTATGAATCTCTAAGTTATAGTAGGTTGTGAGATCACAAACAACTTTGACCATTGGTTTTCTGGATCCTTTTCCTACAATACCTGTATTTGTTTTTTTAGCATTCCACAATTCACTGTCCATTCTTTTTTTGACATGACTGATGCATTCTTTTTTCACAACAGTGAAATTTTTAAGATGTCTTTATACGTTTTGCTATCTCTGTCTCCTATGTATGTTAAATATTTGACACCATGTAATTCACCCGATCGGATAAACATTTTGGTGATAGCATCAATCTCCATTTTATCAGCACTATCTATATGGTTTATTGTGCACTTACTTGGATGTGTCTGGTACCATTCTTTATACTCTTCCTCTGTGACATCTTTCTTGTGCTTTCATACACTGTATGCTTGGCACAACTTACTCTTTATATTTGCATTAAGTACTTTTTTGGGGTATTTTCCAATGAGTGTGAAAACACCAAATAAGGAGCTAAATCCTCATTTCTTCTAGGATCCATCTCTGGAAAATGTAAAATATAGTGGATCATTTTCTGCCTTTCTGTTTTTTCCTTTTTCTTCTTCAGCTGCTGCTGAAATTGAACAATAATATAAGCCACATTTATACATGTTGAAGACAGGAGTAATACATATGATGCCCAACTCTTGACCAATGTTAAAGTAATTAGAGCAATAAAATTAATGATGCAGTACACTATATCATTAGAAATCATAACGCTATTATCAGCTCTTTTACGTAATATTTACTCGGTATGCTCGCCGATGGTTACCACGAAATTAAACTTTACTGTCTATTTTCGAAGACATTTCTACATTTCTCACAGTTTCAATTCACACCTCTCGCCAATTTGTAAAATTTCTACCAAAACTGAATGCGTACTGAAATGTCGTCGAGTTTTCGACAGGTGAGATGTCCTTTTATTGAAAAGGAAAACCTGCAAACCTCTTTCCTTTCAGCTGAAACAAAGGCTTTCTTGTGCGACTTATAGTATGGCAAACATACCCAGAATTGGGGCAGTTGCCTCACATTGTGGTGCTTATTGGAGGAAAACGAAACGCTTGAGGGGCTGCACTCGTGGATATATTTGCTGTGTAGCATAGGAGAAGTTCAGTTATTCTATCTTCTGCTCTAGTGCTACAAGCTTCTTGAATACAAGACAAGCGATGCGTAGAAGCAACTCGAAATCTATTTGCGATAATAAATTTCGCGGCTCGCCACCTCATTGAAACAGTTATAATTCTGTTATTTGTAAGAATTCGAACCTAATATTTACAGAAATTATTTTTAAAAACATGTACTTAAAGAAAAAAAAAAAGAAAAAAAGATGATTTTTTTACCCTAGATACTAGAAGACACCATTAAGGTACTTATATGTGGAGAGTATATCATTTTCATACTTGTTATTTAATGGAGTGAATATAATAAACATCAGTACTTCATAAAAACTAAGAAAAATCACAAAGAATTGAATATAATAAGGAATATAATTCAAAAATGATAATTAGTAATTCTATTTTGTTATTTTAAATATGTAAAATGCTTATTAGTAATATAGTTCAAGCATAAATCATATAAAAATTGGCATATTTTATGAAATACTTTTTTATTTCAGTTTCTCTCATTATGAAGCAAATATGTGTGGCAAGCATGTAATACACAAATGGAATGAAGATTATAAGATAATTATATCTGTAGAATACTTTAATATTTTAAAGAAGTACAACAGAATGTTAATACATAATGGTATTTTGTGAAATATACAAATATGAATATTTAATCAGGATCAACAGTAATGGAAAATTTTCCTGATTATTGCATGTTCATTTTTATATGTAAGTACTTACATAAAGTTTTAGGGAATCATAAATGAAGTTCGCAATTTACAATAAAATTAATATCTTCATAAGATGAATAAATACTCTCCACATTAAATACCAAATTATTAAATTATTGTAGAATTATATGCAAAGTATCATAGTGTCATAATTTAGACAGTATGTAATTAATCAATTTCTTTAATCAGTATTATTACATTGTAGGAAAATCGGATCAGCCTTCATTTAGTAGAATATTCCAATATCCAAAGTTTGAATCTATGCAAGCCTTAGCAAATAAAAGTTTCTTCCAGGTATTATATTATTCGGAAATGTATATAAATTTAAATATATAAAAATAAAGAATTTTTATTTTTAGGCGGATAGAGTAAACATTTACTGGAATAATCTTGGAACAAATATTTTATTAATGACAAGTACAGAAGTTGATAAAACAGGTGCTTCATACTATGGGAAACAGATGTTGCACTATCTTAGTACAAAAGGAGAAACTGCTATGGTTGCACTCAGTAAGTTGTAATTAATTGACTATTGTTACTATTTATGAAATAACACTATTATTTGTCTTCAAAATATAATATTTTATTTTACTTCATTTTTTTAATTAGGTACAAAAGGTCCTATACATGCTGTTCAATGGTCCCCCAAAAATAATGAATTCTGTGTTGTATATGATTTTATGCCAGCTAAAGCCACATTATTTAATCTTAAATGTGAACCAATATTTGAATTTGGTTCTCTGCATCGAAATAGCATTTATTACAATCCTCAAGGGAATAATATCCTTTAATTACTTAAATTACTATTCATATTGTGCTGAAATTATTTTAAACTATAATTTGCCTATTTAGTTAAAATGTTTCTTTACTTATAAACAACTATATTTTCTTAACCACTTTGTACTTCTAATTTTGACTGGATTTGGCAATCTCCGTGGTGGTATCGAATTATGGGATGTTGGTAACAGAAAATTAATTGCTAAAACTGAAGCTCCCGATACTACGCTTCTTCAGTGGTCACCTGATGGAGAACATTTTATGACTGCAACTACAGCACCTAGGCTCCGTATAGGCAATGGGTAAATAATATTTTATATTTATTTGTTATTGATAAATAGATGTTAATCCATATTTAATAAATATTTGCTACATAGATTTAAGATTTGGCATTACACTGGAACTTTATTATATGAACGACCGTGGAATGAACAAGAAGAACTTTGGGAAGTCTTATGGCAAACTTTTCCACCAGAAACATTTCCAGAAAAATCAATTAGTTATAAAGCTGTTGAAGGTATTGCTCCTAGTCAACCACAAGGTAAAGGTTTTTTGAAATGTTCATTAAAACAAACTATTATATTAAAACGTTGTTTATTAATATTTAATCTGTTTTGTAATTACAGCATCAAAACAAATATATCGACCACCTTCTGCAAGAGGAGAAGCTATTACTTTTAAGTTACGTGAAGATGAAATGTTTAAAGATAAGAAAAAAACATCAAAATGTAAGATAAATTTGAAAGTGTGAAATTGTATGTATAATAGATTCAAAACAAATACCTTATTTAATATATATTTGGTATTTATTACAGCTACAACAAAAGCAAAGAAAAAAACAAAAAAAGGTACAAAGGAATCAGAGGCATCTGTATCTTCTCAATCAAATAATCCAAGTACAAATGGACAAGTTGCTACAAATGCGGAAATTCAGAATTTAACTACAAATGTTCCTGAATGTGATGATTTGGAGAGGAGTAAGAAAATTAAAAAAATTAAAAGTGTAAGAATCTCTACTATCAATATATCACTAAAAAATAAAATTGAGTTATTTTAATTTTAGTATGTTTTATTTCTTACAGAAATTAGAGCAGATTTCAAAATTAAAGGAACTGTTAGTAGCTGGGAAGCAATTAGAGATCAATCAATTAGACAAAATTAAGAAAGAAGCAGATTTAATAAAACAACTCGAAGAGCTTGCTTTATGATGAACATTTCATGCTCAAGATATGTTCGATTTTTAAAGAAAGTCCAAATATTTCTTTTAAAGACGGAAAATGATCTCGGTCTCTCACATACGATATCACACGTACAGAAGTTACGTTTGGCTGTACATAAAATTTTCATTCTTTGAAGAGGTAGTGGGAACAAACTAAATTTTGAAAGTGGATTTAATAGATTTCCACGTCATTGAGGTTATTAAAATTTGAAATATAAATTCTCTTTTTTTTTTTGAGCGATGATAATGGGATTAAAATGGTCCATCGCTATAACTTTTCGTTAATAGTTCGAAATGAAAACTTTTTTTTCTTAACGAATTCTTCATTCTATCTAATAGCATTGAAGCATGTTACGACAGTCCAGTAATGACCAAGCTTCCTTATTATATAGTCCTGTATAAGAACGTTTTATTATAAGAAACTTAAGTACCCTTCCTGGTATTGTATTTGATAACTAAGAAATACAGGGTGAATCGCGTTATCTTGTATTTCAATACTTCGAAATGTTGGCTCATAACAGCTTATGCGATTTACCCCGTATAAAATGCAAAATGTGATGGAAAATGTGAGATGGAAAAATAGTGTGATTATAAAATCGAATGCACATAAAATTTGTTCCTGGAGACAGGTGCTGTCATTTCAATTTTTATGTTTATAAATTATTATGCATTATTCTGTTTGTATTTTATCAATCTCTTTATGACAATTTAGTGAAGGTTAGAAATAGACATATCATTTTGTGATTTCAGAGTTATTACATTCATTTCACGAGTATTGCACTAGTATTTTCTAAGAACATTTCGTTCTTATATACATTTTTGTTTTGTGCTTTACATTACGTTTAAGATTCAAATTTTATATTTTTCTTGTTACCAAGGATTATAAGACTGGTCAGATTAAAGTACTGCCGAAAAATTACCAACTATATTCCACGACTAGAGGAACATTTTTAAGTAATAAAGAAAATTTAGCTTTTTGAATTAGTTAATTTCTTAAAGTATTGTTCTCCAATAATGTTAAAAGTTACCCTTGCTTATTTTCAGATTGTTGTATAAACTTCAACAACAGTCTGTGTTCTGTAACAAGAATAATTGTATTATTCCTTTTAATTTAATATTTACTAATACTGAGATTTTTAGGTTTATTTGAGCGATAGATTTTGTACAATGTAGATTGTACAAATCAAAACGAAAAAGTATATTTTCTACCTAGTTTCTATTTCTTTTGTTATAATAATTCATGAAGTTAAACGCAATCGGAAAACTTATAGTACAAGGAGTAACTACCACGAATTTTCACAAAATTCGTAAAATTATAATTATAAAAATTGTATATCATTACTTCTGACATGTAAATTCAATTATATACATATAAATTATGGACTAATTATGAGTGATGGGTACATTATAAAATGAATTACATAAAAAAAAATCGCATTCGCCAATGTTTTGTACACTTACGTGAAATTTATGAAAAATAAATTATTAAAAACAAAAATGTCAACGATATGCAATATGTTTTTATGAAATTGTATTTTTCCTATATTGCAATATATTTGCGTGTAATTCTCGACAAAAAATTTTATTCAAATTTATCAATTTGTTCAAGTTTCTAATACATGCACCTTATTTATATTAATATTTAAGGTAACGTGATATTTTTAAAAAAGTATTTTTAATTTCGAAGTATCTAAATTTTTTAAATATTGCGAAAAATGGTTGAAATAAGGGAAGTTAGTATAGGACAATAGGTGGTTGAAAAACTCGTTTATATGAATATGTCTTATTAAAATTTTCTAACAAAAAATTAATTACAAAGGGAAAAGTATTTATAGTAAAAATATTTGACGGAAGAATGCTTTGATTAAAAAACGAACGAATAAAAAAGAGTTAAAAGAAATGATGGAAATTGAATGAGTAAGGAAATGCATGAGAAGCACCGTGAATGTAGTGTCAGTGGTCGTTTTAACTCGAGGACGACAGTAGCGCCGTAAGATAGTCGTGTTTACAGATTCGTCAGTGAGTTCTACAACGTCACGTCAAAAAGTGCAACAAATTTCTACCACCATTTACTATGTAAAGGTGCGTTTTCCGATAAAGGTTTAATACAATAATTGGTGATAATAGCAAGTTTCTGTGTGTCACTATACGTTTTTAAAAAATCGGCATTTTCTTGTAAAGAAAATTTAAGAGATTTTCTTTAATACGGCAATGCTAATCGTTAGGATGGCCGCCATTTTGTCCGGAGGTGGCCCGGTTGAGTGAACGGGGCGAAAATAGTTGCTCCCTGGACACCGAGAATTGTTGAAATTGCATAGGTACCGGTTACGTGGGATCTTTTCACTTATCTCTAACTATCAAAAGAAATCTGACGCTCTTGGGAGAAGTGTGCGTATATGAAAAATCGAGATATCTTTTCCGTCGCCGCTCGACATTACTTCTTTGTAAGCACGCCGTATACGTATTTCGCGTAACTCCAAGCTAATTTAGTGACGATCGTTTGCAAAATTCTTTGATCGATGATGCTTTTTCATCAACAAAAAGTAGACCGGGTTAATTATTTTCTGATTCTAATTTTTGACGGTTGACAGTTCGGTACGTTTGACGATACACCCGAGAAATAAAAAGAGGTGGCGAGAGAAAGAGATCGAGAGGAGAAAGAAAGAGATAGAGAAATAATTCGCGACATGACATCGTACCTTTCATGAATTGCGAAATTCCAAAGGAATACAGACCCTTGGACATAATTGTTAGTTTCGTTATTGGTTTCGTGCAATCGAGTGATTATTATCGTTTATAATGAATAATTGGAATTTGTTGGCTGAAACCTTAACAAGATCATGCTGTCATGCGATTTATAAAATGTATGAAACGTTGTTCGTTATCTATATTTTTTCTACAGTCTTCATTAAATTTCTTCTCTGTTACTCGACTGTGAAACATTGACGGTACCGGTGTCCCTCAAGACGATCTCGAATTACACAGTTCTTGTCTTACAGATTTTTCGTCCATTCTAATTTTTCAATTGCCTCATTTTTTGAAGGTTTCAAATGTTTTCGATTTTTATAATTTTTGATCGTTCTCATTTGTTGCAAAACCAGTATTTGTATAGCATTAAGTTATCAATAAAAATAGGTATGTTAATAATGAATAGGATAATGAAGGAATGAATATTTGATGAATATAAAGCTATTGTAAAACTTCTATTAATGTAAGGAGTTTACAAGGTTCGGTAATATCCATTGCTCTAGTGTTAGTTTTTTAATTATTTTTTTAGTATTATACTTACTTAAAAGATTATACTTTAAAATAACTAATTTTGCTTGCATCAGTTGCAAAGTTGGTGTTATAAAATTTTTATAATTTTATTTCAGATAATGTAGGTATAGTTTATTCAAACAAGGCCTTTAGGGTATAATTATATTTAATGTCAGTGAATGAGTTGGATGGTTGTTATTGGTGGTACGATTATTGGACCAAGAGGTATTGAGACAATTGGAATATAGCAAAGAGCATACAAAATGACGATTGCCACAAGAGGCCAAGGAGTAGGCATAGACCCTCCTGACAGCCAGCAAAGTACACAGGTATATAAATTATACATATATATCAGCTAATGAGATATTAATTATTTAATAAAACTATATTTGAGTTATGTTTAAGATACATGTAAAATAAGTTTTGTTTATTGAAATTTATTGTCATGTTTTATATAGAAATGTCATAATTTAATAATCCTAATTTAGTGTATGTTTATTGAAGTTTATATTAATTTGTCATTATTATACTTTGATTATACTATGCTGTTGGGTTAATATTAAGTATATAATAGATGCACAGTTTACCGGGTCCGCAACAATTAGCAGACACATTGTCAGGACTTCAACTCACAGAGAATGTGGTACAAACAGAATGCACCAATGATACCTTAACTTCAATAGAAGATAGTAATCAGCTCCATGGTGAGCCTGATTTCCCTGTTGCAAAACTCAATATGCTTCATGAAAAAATATCTAGTCCACGATGGGTTGTACCAGTTCTTCCTGAACAAGAGTTAGAGTGTCTGTTACAAGCCAGTATCGATCTTTGTAAAAAAGGTTATATATAATAAGCAATTTTGAAATTTTTAATTAAGTGATATTAATTTTGAATATAAATTTGTGTATTTAGAGATAACAATAAATGTAATTTTACTTAGGAATTGATGTACAAAGTGAAGCGTGTCAGCGTTTTTTTCGAGAAGGACTCACTATTTCTTTTACCAAAATATTGACTGATGATGCAGTAAGTAGTTGGAAAATGAACATTCAAAATTGTATCAATGCAAACTGTATGAGATTGGTGGATCTATGTATTCTGAAACTAGATGAGGACTGGTTTCCTCTTCTTGACTTGCTGGCAATGGTTTTTAATCCTAGTAATAAGTAAGTTATATTTTTTCTCTGTCTATCAAAAGATATTTTTCTTAAGTATATGAATTATATCATATTAATTTTTTTAATTTTGTTTTAGATTTCATACGTTTAATGCTGCAAAGGTTTCAGAATCTGTTCCTCCAGGCAGTGATATTCCGGACGAACATCTTTACGCGCGACCGCCTGATTCAAGAAGTCCTCGTGGTTGGCTAGTGGATCTCATAAATAGGTTTATATATTATGCTAATAATTTTTTTCACAATTTTCTATTTTATGCATGGAATATTTAATTCTCTCTTTTACAGGTTTGGAAGTCTTAACGGCTTTGAAATTTTGCTCTCTAGATTTCAGAGTGGCCGAAATTTAACAGTACCAGTTATTTATGCTTTGATCAGACCTTTTGGTTTATGTTACGAACTACTTACTGTTCATACAATAATTAAGTATCTTATGCCTATTGTGGTAAGCATCCTTTGTAAAGTATTAAACAATGTAATTATATTTGAATTTATATTTGTAATATATTTTTATCTTTGTAGCAAATGGTGCCTGCAATTTTAAATAATTTAACTGATGAAGAATTAAAGAAAGAAGCAAAAAATGAAGCAAAAAATGATTCAATATCAACCATAATCAAAGCCGCCAAATGTTTGGTATCACGAGTACCACACCAAGAGGAGATGATTAAAAATTTAGGAATTCTGAGACTGAAGATGATATTGAGACTCT